TATATATATATATATATATAATATATATAACACATATTTCATATTATATATATATATACACAATTTGTATTAGAGATTTTCACATAAGTAAAAGATAAACATGGATTGATACAAAGTAAGAGCAAGAAAAAGAAAAGAAGAAGAGATTTTTAAAAAGTGCTAAAAGTCATATAGATAGAAAAATAAGAAAAGATATATAAAGAAACAACTTCCAATCTCCTTTACAGCAGTTACAAACTTATTGTCTCTCCTCCCTTTTTAAGATTATATATGATTCCCTTCTTCCCATATTCAACCCTTTTTAATCAGTAAATCCATATATCACCAGTTTGTTTTTTCCAGCAAAAAGCCCGTAAGAAGTTTCCAGTCTTTTATAAAAGTACTTGTTGTCTTATCCCTGATCAAACAGGTCAATTTTGCCATTTCAGTAAATTCCACCATTTTCTCAATTCACTCCTCCATTGTGGATATTTCAGTATTTTTCCATCTTTGGGCATATAGTAATCTTGCTGCAGTTATCATATACAAAACACATCCTCCATAAGTCCTTTCTAATTGGCTATTCATAAGTCCCAATAAGAAAAGTCCTTGTTTCATCTGAATATTAATCTTTAAAATCCTTGTTATTGAAACAGATCTCCTTTCTCTTTAGAACAGGGGTTCTTGACCTTTTTGCCCCATGGATCCCCTTGAGAGTCTAGTGAAATCTATTGGATTCCTTCTCAGAGAAACATATTTCTTTTTTATATGTATAATTTTGCATTAGAGATTTTCACATAAGTAAAAGATAAACATGGATTGATACAAAGTAAGAGCAAGAAAAAGAAAGATTCCTTTTCAGAAAAACATATTTCAGTGCATAAAATACCTAGACGTAGATTGAATTCCAAAGGAAACTCATTATCCTTAAATACTCTTAGTAAATATTTTTAAAACAAAACCAATATGTCATGAATACAAAAAGGAAAACAACTGCATTTCATTCTGGGAAATTCCAGAACGAAACTTCATATCTCCACCAGGCTATGCTAATCTAGCCAGCAGTTTCCTATTTCTGGTTCTAGAACATTTTCATCCAGAAATATTCGCAGACCCCCTACAACTGGCAGACCAGTGTAGTCCCAGAATAGATTTTTGCCTGTTCCATTCATGGTCTGGGGATGAGATGAAGGCAACATTTGGGGTAAATACCAAACTTAAGAGATTGCCAGGACTTGTTTGTGCCATGAATAAACCAATGATAGTTACGGACAAGTGGGATTCTTTTCTTGAGTCCACAATTTAGGTTCTATCTTGGCAAAGGTAATTTGGGAGAAATGGGCAGGCAAGTCACTGGATAGGAAAGCTAAGGAAGAAGCAGATAAGGTTGACCAGATGCTGGAATGAAAAACCTGTCAGATGAGTTGCTCTTCTCTTTTTATTTTAGCGTCCTTACTTTTCCACCCTATTTTCTGTCCATATACACTTTACTTGATATGCACATTTTTGCAAACATTTTTCCTTAATAAGAGGGGTGCTCTACATATACTAAGGAGATCTCAAGGAAGTCGCCAATCTTAGATCTGTACCCCCACTAGAAAGAGAGGCAATCTAAGAAAGATTTGAACCTATTCCCCAAAGAGTTCCTCCAAAAGTTGTCATCAAATTGTAATTTTTAATCTGGAAATTGGCTTTTGGAGATGATATCATCACTTTGTACCTAAGAACTGTTTTAGTTGCTAGGACAAATAGCAAGAGAGATAAAGGGAAAGGTCTTCACTCACTGTTCCTTGTCCTGGAGTGTTGAGGAAGGCTGTCAAAAAAGTCAAAATGGCAGCCCCACCCATGTGATCAAAATTCTGCCCCTATTTTACATGTATTGCGACACATGTAAAAAAGGGCGGGGCTTTGATTGTGTGGTTCTTGCCGCCATCTTGATTATTTTTACCCCCCATCCCCAAGGACACCCACCTTGACTCTCACCTGGCCGTCGTTGATTAAAACGAGTCTCTTAAGCCTAATCATCTGTTTTCTTTTCTCTCTCTCTCGTGCTTCCCTCTCAAGATGTAGTTCAAATAGAAGTTTTTCTATTCTCATAGATTTCTTAATGAATCTACTTTTTATTTCAAATATACAGAAGGTCTGTTGGCATTCCTTGGTAGCTGGACTAAGCCCCTTCTCTGCATTCAAGAAAACTATATTTTATTTATTCATTTATACACCATATTTATATAGCCACCTATCCTACCCAAAGCATACCGTTAGCATTTTATTTTTCTGAAGAGTTGCTCCGCTACTTAATTCCTTGGTATTTTTCAGTGTGCAGCTTATGTTCAAGAGTTCTGACTCCTGCTGCTTTCAAACCTCTCACGCTAGGAAAATGACAAAACACTTGAGTAATTATATGACCTGATCAAATATAATTATCATCATCCTGGCCTTGCCTGCTTTGGAGAACGAGCCCCACCCAGTACGCTACTGAAATGTCCCAGGCATCATCTGGATGTGTAAACTTCAATTCCCAGAATTTCTCAGCCAGCACGCCATTGCTGGGCATTTTGGGAGTTGGATATCACATATCTGGATGGCAACCAGATGGAGGACTGCTGCTGCCAATCAGTGTCTTTTTAGGAAGCTTTAGAACTCCATTATCCCAGTTCTGATTTTTTTTTTTTTTTTTACTGTAGATTATGGGAAGATCCTGAACCAGCAATGGATAGAATTAAAGTCCACAATGGTCAGTGTCAGAGCCAAAGTAAAACTACAGTTCTCCTGAAATCAGCCTGAGTTCTACGTACAATATATCCCTTGGGTTTGCATTGGACCATCAAATAATAAACCATCTCATGTTTCATCTTCCTCCTTTGTTTTTCTTCTCTTTTAGAGCTGACTCATGATCTTGAAGTGAAGGAATCGGAAGCTAGCCAGCAAGGTGAGAAGATGAGAATCTTTTTTTTTTCTCTCTCCTTTTTATTTGAAATAACAAACATAAACCAGGGGTAGAATATCACCATTTGGTATGCTCCGAATCCACGGTGGAAAAAGACATCTCAGTTAAATTGGTTGGATTCAGCATGGCTCATCTCCAGATCACTAACAGTTGAGCTAACTACTCCCTCTTACCCTAACGAGGTGGATGTGAAGGTTGGAAAGAGAGAAGAACATGGGTGTTCAGTAAATAGTTTGCAATATCAACAGTAGTTCTGGCTGAGCATATGGGAAATCTTTGTTCTTTTAAAATACATTTTACTAGAACCACAGTGCGGGGGGGTGGGGGTTGTAAACAAGAGTCAGACTTTCTCAATTTCTTTTCTCCTTGCCTCTCTCCTCCACTGAGTGATCCCTTTCTTTCAAATCTCAGACTGAAAGTAGCCAGTAGAGGGTGCCAAATGACCAGGCATGAGTGATACTGTTCAGCTGGCCTCTTTCCCCAACAGTAGCTTCTTCCAGACTGGAAGGGTTCCCAGCCATTGTCCTGTTCTGGCATCTGGTTTTGTCTAGTTTCATCTTTTTCCAGTGGTGTTGACAATAAATTCGGGCGTAGTCTCAAAGCCTAAGCAAGCTGGCCTTGAAGCCTTCAGAACCATCTCAAGGTCTTCCCTCCTGCTGCACAGATACGTTGGAAAATGTGCAGCCCAGCTATATGATCAATTGAGGACATTTCCAATGTCAGGGGCTATCACTGATGGAATGGAATGTTGGGCGAGTCCTAGAATCCAAGACTTTGAGGGTGGCCTGGGAGATGCTTACTCCAGACGCAACAAAACCTTGTGGCCATTCTCTCCCTTTTTGATACATCCTTTCTCTTGCAACCTCCAACCTCCTTTTTTCTCTCTCTTTCTTCATCTCCCTGACATGTATTTCTCTCTCCCTGGCTCACCCCCTTTCCCTCTCTCTTTCTCCTTAGCAGCGAGCTTTCTCTCTTTCTTCACCTTCCACTAGCTGGACCCACACCAGTTAAGCAAGGTGACTGAATCAATCCATTTCTGGGTTTCCTCAATCATAAACTAACCGAGCAACACCCCCCCCCCATTTTTTGTTTGTCTTACTTTCTCAAATAACCTATTTTCTCTCCTATCACTTAACATCCTTCATAACTACCAAGAAAGTGAATGATCATAGAAAGAAGGTTTTTGAAATTAGGTGGCATGACATTGGAGTCAGAGCTGTTCACTCTTTCAACAGTCCCAGTGATAACTACTCTCTACCTGCCTCTTCCTCCTCCTCCTCCTCCTCCTTATTTAAGAGGTGTGCATTTTTAGTTGCAACACCTGCCCTCTGGAATGATCTCTTGCCCTACATATTGTTGGTCCTGACCCTGTTGGCTTTTAGGAAGGCATTAAAAACATGGTTCTTTGGGGCCAGGATCATAGGAGATTCTGTCTGGTAAGGTGTGTTTCCAATCATCTATTAATTGCAGTTGTTGTAATTTTAATTGTATTTCCATTTGTGTTCTTTTTCTATGGATGTACGTCATCCAGAGTCACATTTGCCTGAGCTGAGCAGCCACGTAAATGTCACATGTAAATAAAAAATCATTTCTATTATTATCACTCTTCTTCCAAGGAAGAATAAATAACTTGTCTGGTTTGACTCAACCATTACAGCATTCTTAAGCCGCATCCTAAAAAAAAATCTTCCTGCCAAAAGAAAAACAAACAAAATTAAGTTCTGTTAATAGCATATTTATTTATTCATTCATAGATTCATTTGGAAGATTTATATACTGCTCACTCCCTTAATGGCTCTGGATGGTTTACAAGACAATAAAAACACCCATTCAAACAGACCTGAAATCATAATAGACATAATACACAAATTAAAACAGTAGCTTTAAACATCTTAAACTGTAGGAAGAAGGAGACTTGGTTCAATTGCAATGGCTATTTGTTTCATAATGTTTCCAGATGTATTCAATGGCTACCCCACAAAAAGCACATTGCAATAGGTTACCTTGAGGTTATCTGCACATGACTCCTTGAAGCAAGATGTTTCTCTTCCAGGTAGAGATGTCCCAGATTTATCATCCAAAGCTGCAATAAAAGCGTGTGTGTGTACCCATATACCACCACCTCCATAGATGTTCTACACCTCTCCAGTATCAGTGCCAGATGCAGGAAGTTTCTTAATTGCAAACCTCTTTTTTAAGGTGGGCAACCATCCAGAACAGACTCTCTCTGTTGCACTCCAGACAAACAGGGAGCAGCTCAGAGCAGAAACAAAACTGGATTCCATTTCCCTTACGTTTGCATTAACTTCAAACTAAATTTCATGAAATGGTGACACACACACACACACACACACACACACACACACACACAGTCATGCAGTTAGTCATTTTTCTCATGGGTCACAAGAAATATTACAACTTGGGAACCATGCCCAAGGCTTCAGAGGATTGCAATGGAGCCCTAGACCAGTGTTTCTCAAACTTGGCAACTTTAAGGTGTGTGGATGGCTGGCTGGGGAATTCTGGAAGTTGAAGTCCAAACATCTTTAAGTTGCCAAGGTTGAGAAACACTGCCCTAGATCCTCCTATTGTGTATTTCTGCTTGGTATTGTAAGACTAGAAATCAAATCAGAGATCAAGGCGAATGAAATCTGGAACCCTGAGGAGATCTGAACAAAGGGGTCTTGAGGTTTTGATTGCACTCAGCACAACATAGGCTTTACTTGGGCATGCAGGGTTCCGCCCTCAGCCTCAGGGCAAAAGGTGAGGTTGCTGGTGCAGCAAAGGAGGTGTTCAAGAGCAACGGTTGGTCTAAGGTGAATGGAATGCTGATGGAAGGCAGTCTGAGCAAGACAAATGGCAAAATCCCAAAGAAGCCGCCGTTCCTTTCTCTGGCCACGCCTGGGAGGAAACGCCTGGCTCATAAAAACGTATCCAGCTGATACCGCCTTGCCATCTTCAGCTGCTCTGTTTAGCTTCTTGGGTTGTGACACCCAGAAGTGCTAGAAGCCAGGTTTTAGATCGCCACCTCAGATTTCTGATCCTTGAGACTCCATTCTTCAAGCTTCTAAGCCTGCACAACATGCTTCTGGCTCTGAAAAAAAACCTCAGTCCTTCTCCATACCATTGATTTGAGCAGAGTGCACAGAGTGTAAATTTAGCTGCCTTTGTGGAATTCAGGGGCACATGATGTGAAGAGGCTCCTCTAGCTTCAGTGACTTTTGTGGAGAATCAGATAATTTAATGGATAGGCTTATCAGTGGCAATTAGATGCAGTGGTTATGTGGAAACTCCACGTGAAGGATCTCCTGTGGTTGTTCCTCAATGTGTGGTCCTTAATGGATTCATGTCTTCATGGAGGGAAGTATAAAGTGGGGTACCTCAGAGTTCTGCCCTGGGCCCAATTCTTTCCAATGTTTTTACAAATGGCTTAGACAGTGGATGAAAGTGACACTCATCAAATTTTCAGATGGCACAAAGCCGGGCAGGATGTTGCTAACACCTCAGAAGACAAGCTCAGGGTTCAGGATATTCTTGACAGACTTGAGTATTGGCCCCTATCCAATACTATGCAGGTCAATAGTGAAAAATGTAAGGTTCCACACTCACGTAGCAAAAACCAGTTGCACAGGTATAAAATAGGCAGTACCTGGCTCATCAGTAGCATTTGCAAGAAGGATCTAGACATCCTGACAGACCACAGATTAAACATCAGCCAGCAGTGTGCTGCAGCTGCCAAAACAGCCAGTGCAATCTGGGGCTGCATCAACAGAGGTGCAATGTCAAGATCAAGAACAGTGATAGTTCCGCTCCATGCCGCACTGGTTAGACAGCACCTGGAATAATACGTCCTGTTTCGGTCACCACTATACTGATGTTGAAGAACTGGAAAAAGTGTAGAGGGAAAAACAACAACGTTGGAGAGAAGCTTGGAGGCTCAATCCTATGAAGAACAGCTAAAGGAAGTGAGTATGTTTAGTCTAAAGCAGTGTTGTCCAAACTTGGCCACTTTAAGATGAGTGGACTTCAACTCCCAGAATTCCCCAGCCAGCCATGCAGGTCAAT